GCAGTAGGGCTTCTTTCTGAGTAAAACATAAAACAAGATTGTATCATAATGAAACTGTATGGAGAACACAATGTCTTGCCCTCTGCCAACAAAGCACAACACATTTTCATTGCCATCCCATAATCTTTATGCGATTAGATGTCTATCTTTTCTAAACTGTCATTAAGACAAAACAAACATAAAAACAAAGAAAACTCACAAGTTTAGCTGCTAGCAAATTACAGCAAGTATTTTCCTGGCACAATGTGGTTTAAATTATACCTATCTTTTCCTGAACAGAATGTGAACATTGGCTGTCCGTGAAATAAGCTGGTTGCGTGCTCGAAAAGGCTGAAGGAGAATGAAATAAGGCCCTGTCCCTTTAAAGCTTTCCTCCCCCTTCCCAAACCACTATCCACTAATAGCCTGCAGCAAATCTATTGGGGAATTGCGTGCAAACGCTGACATAACCCCAGGCTCAGCAGAAAGTCAACTTTCTCAGGTCAATGGCAAGTAACAGGTATATCCGGTTATGCCTTTGTACCTGTCTGCACACAAATTAGACATGAGTACAGAGGGACTCCAATCAAGGGAGGAGAGAGGAGGGGCGTGGGTCGCGCTGCTCGCTGCAGGCGGGGGGAGCGCCCTTGGTGGCGGAGGGCGCAAGGCACTGCGGTGCCAGCCCGCGCTGCTCGGCACGGAAGCGGCGCGCCAGGCTTCCTGCGAGCGGCGCACCGCGTGGGGGGGGGGGGCGCTGAAGGGCGGAGGCGCCGCCTGCGCGCGCTCCCCTGAGCGCGGATGCCGCGTGCCCCGGGAGAGATAGCGCTGGTGCTGCGGGGCACTTAGCGGTCGCCCTGCCCTTTTCCAGACGAGGGACATTTTTCTCCAGAGGGCCGGTGGCAATCCTCGTTGCAGAAAAGGGACTGGATTAAGCAAAGACAGCTGGTGTTTGTTCCTGGCTGCCCCATGGTTGGGTGTGGGGAGCTCCCACCTTGTCGATACTGCGGGCGCACTGAGTATTTTGGAAAACGTGCCGTGGCATTATCACAAATGAGCTGTTCTAGTGAGGTGGAGGAGAGCCATTCACACCACACCCACACTCTCTGTACTTATGTTAGTGCATGAAATGCTCTCTCAGTGTGTGCTATTCTTCCTGGCTTCTCTTTGCTTAGCCCTTTTCTCTCTTTCCTTCTCCTCCCTTTTTCTTGCTCTCTCTCCCCCCCCCCCCCCCGCTCTTTCTTTCCTTCTTCATTCCTCCCTCCCTTCCTCCTATTGGCCTCTCTCACTCATGTTTTCTGTCCTGTCTTCCTCTCCATCTCTTTCTCTGGCTTTTTCTTTTCTTCCTTCTCTTTGCCTGGCTACTCTTCCTTCCAGTTCTTCAGCTCCTCTCCTTGCTCCACATCCTCCCTCCCTCCCTTCCCTTTCTAGAATCTCCCTCCCTTTTTCTCTCTCTCTTCTTCCTTCTTTCTCCCTGCTTGTCCATGCCAGTCAATGGAACACTTTCTCTACCCATTTCACTCATTTATAATTTATTTATTTGTTGCTGTTGTTGCTAGTCGCGAAGTCGTGTCCGACTCATCGCAACCCCATGGACAACATTCCTCCAGGCCTTCCTGTCCTCCGCCATCCCCCGGAGTCCACCTAAGATCACAATTTATTTATTAGGATATTTCTAACCTGTCCATCATGGTTCGTTTCTGGATGGCTTACAATATAATATTTTATCATGGAGTGAAAAAAGCCCCTTGCCAAAAATTGGCTATAGGAAGGGTAAACATAATCCCCATCACCACCAAGGACCTTGTTGCTGTTTAAGCATGGGAGCTTCTTCCTCTGTGTCAAGGCCAATGGATAGCCATGCCTAAAAATCAGCTGGTGGCTGAATGTCGGTGGGCATCCACCATACTCTTCCCCCAGCCATTTTTCAATGAAAGTGGGGAGAAGCCTGCCTCATCCATGATATCCTATCAGTTTCTAAAATAAAAACTTTTTTTTTGAGATGCTCATATTTGTATCAAGTTAAAACCAGGGAGCTTGAAAACAGTGCAATTCCAAATTACTGTAAATGCATACATCCCTGTGGGCTGAAAACAAAAGAATGAAAATCAATAGGGACCAATGCCAATTCTGCACCTAGGAAAAATAAACCAAATGCATCGTTAAAAAATGGGGAATACTAGGCTCAGTGATTCTGTGAGTGAGAAGTTCTTGGAATTGCTGTAGATTGCAAGCTGAATGTGGGTTACCAATATGATGTGGCTGCAAAAAAGGTGAATGCTATGTTTGGCTGTATTAATAGGAATAGCACTTCCAAATCACATGAAGTACTAGTTCCCCTTTACTCAGCACTGGTTAGACCTCATCTGGAGCACTGTGTCCAGTTCTGGGCACCGCAGTTTTAGAAAGATGCAGACAAGCTGGAAAGGGTTCAAGAGGAGGGCAACAAGGATGATCCAGGGACTAGAAACAAAGCCAAATGAGGAGAAATGGAAAGAAATGGGCATGCTTAGCCTTGAGAATAGAACATTGAGGAGAGCTATGTTAGTATTCTACCAGTACATGAAAGGCTGTCACAAAGAGGAAGACCAGGATCTTTTCCTGATCATCCCAGAGTGCAGGACAAAGAATAATGGGATCAAGTTACAGAAAGTCAGTTTCCAGCTAGATCTCAGGGGGAAAAATCCTGAGTGTTAGAGCAGTACAACAATGGAACCAATTACCTAAGGAGGTTATGGACTCTCTCGCACTTGAGGCATTCGAGATGCAATTGGGCAGCCATTTGACATGGTTTAACCTGGAGCAGGGGGTTGGTCTGGCCCTTTTCAACTCTATTATTCTGTGATTCCATGATTCCCCCCTGCATTCATCATCTTGTGTTTGCCCTAAGGAGAAACACTACCTTTCCAGTAGAACTATCAATGGCTAGTAGTCATGATGTTGTTATTGCTGTATCATTCCATCTGCCTCTACCTCCCTTCCAGGATCAGAGATACTATTCTCTCAATAGCAGTTACTGTGGAACACGAGCAGGAGGCTCTCTGGTCCTCAAACCCTGCTTGTGGTCTTCCAGCGGTACCTGGTTGGCCACCAGAGGAAACAAGTCCCGGAACAGATGGCCCTTCAGTAGAACCCTTCGTGTCTCCTCTGTGAGAACCTTGCCAGTTAGAAGAGAGTGTGCTGCCTGCATAGTCAGCTTATGCCGACCCTGAATTTGCCTCTGCCCGCCACATGGGGAAATGGCTCCAAGTGTATTTGTTTTGTGAGGCTGGATTGACAAAACACAGCGCACTTAAGTACCTAGGTATAATCCGGTAGCTTAGAGGCCAAGCATGTGAGCTCTGAGTCATTCAGTCCAGCTACAAGCTCTCTAGCTGGGTGTAAGCAGCAAGCCCTGACTTTGCTGCTGCAGCATCACCTCTCATCATATTGGCCTACTTTATGAGTTATAATACAGAAAGTGCTCAAAAAGCATGGTATTCTTGTGTTTTAAAGCCAGAACATTTATCTTATGGGAAGATCATCATTTTGCAGAGAAACATCTCATGCCTTTAAAACAAAAGAGGACAATTAAAACAAAAGAAATTGAAAAGAGCCAAATCTGTTGGTTTTTCAACATACACACATATATACTGGCAGGATATGTGCTATATTTTTAACAGCTATCTTTGTGGCAGAAATGTTCTAAAAGGTAATGTTTTTTCATAAAGGACATTTAGTGGTTACAAAAGCTTTTGTATTTTGTATTTCTTTCATGCACGCAATAGATGAAGATGGAGAGCAATGGCACAAAAAAAAGAACATGGTGACCCAACACATGGGTAAACTGAGGCAGGGCTGGGTGCAGCTCAAGGGATGAAGCATGCCATGCTTGGGTCAGTCAGGGGAACACAAATAGATCTTGCCCATCAGCCACAAGCAGGGTCATTTGACGTTCTGGCAGATCAAACAGGGTGGCCTCCAGGTTTGATTACTGCAGGACACTCTCCATGGGACTGCCCCTGAAGCCAGTTTGGATGCTGCAGCTTGTGCAATGTGCGACAGCCGGCTACTTCCACTGGCTGTCCATACCTTTCCAAGCCCAAGTCAAGGTGCTAGTTTTGTCCAGTAAAGCCTTCCATGGGTCGGGACTGTCAAACTTGACCCAATGGCCCTCCTGGCATGAGACCACGCTCTAAGGATGGCACAGGATGGCAACGAGGGAAAAGGCTTTCTTGATAGGGGACCACCCATTATGGAAGGCTCTTCCCAGGGAGGACCAACACTGCAATCTCTTTCGGATCCAGCGTAAGCCTTTCCTCTGTCTCTGTGCATTTGACAGCACATGGTAAGGCTTTTACTGGGTCTTGCAATTTGGTGTTGATTTTTAAAAATTGTTATAATTTTGTACATTACTTCTATTATATTGTATTTTTGAGTTTTAATTTCTGTAAACCACCCAAAGAGCTTTGACTGTTGGGTAGTAGAGAAGTGTAAGAAATGACATGAGAAAAAAATTAAAAAATAGGGGGATTTCTTTCTTTTAATCCATTAGCATATATGTATTGGCAGGGTAAGTGACCAGAAGACTGGAGGAAAAGCAACAGGAATTTCAGTGAAGGACAGAATACTTTCTACACTTCCTACATTCCTTAGCAATTCTGGCTCCTGCAGCCAGGCCCCTCAGGGCACCCAAGCATAATTAACACAGGAGATTTGCCACTTCCTGTAATAAAGTTGACAGGCATAATCTCATAAAATAAATAAGAGACAGTTCCCCAAAGGTGATCATTCTAGACGGAGGCATGTTGCAACAGCTACAAAGAAATCTGTAACCCGCTGCCACTAGGGGGTCTTCAATGGCAGAATGCTCCCACCTCGCATTGCAGGTCTCACAGTCTCTTCTTAAGGCAGCCTTGGCATGTGTGCGCTTGGCATCGTTCAGCATTCCTCAACTTGGTGCCCTCCGGATGTTTGGGATGAGAACTTTCATCAGCCCAACTCATGGCCAATTGTGGTGACTTCTGACATCTGTAGACACAAACCTCTGTAGATCATCGAACTGGCAAAAGCTTCTCTACCAGGAACTCCCAATGCAGCAGCTGGAGCTGTCATTATGCTCGCAGATACTTCCCTGTCACTGTGGAGGGCCCCCTAATGATTTTATTTTTAGATGTTTCCCTTTTTAAAATGTACTTATGTAGATTTAATTTTAATTTAATTTAATTTAATTTAAACATTTATATGTTGTCCTTTGCAGCAGCCTCAGGGCGGCTTACAGAAAATAAAAATAACAACATGAATAACAGTATAGTAGTATAAATATCATTAAAAACATTCAACAATAAAACAAATCAACAACAATATATCATTTCATAAGAAAGGAAATAAAAAGAAAATGAAGATGCAACTGTATACAATTAATGATGCTATTAAAATTAGTGATATTAATTATTAAAATGATGGTTAAATTAAAAAGGACAATCAGTTTTTCAACAGAGGGCCAGTTGAAAGGTGCCGGTGGTGGGTGCGGGTCACCAAGGCAGTGCCGGCAGAGGGCATGGGCTGGTGGGGGGGGGCACTCATGGCGAGGCGAGGGCGGGCACACATTTATTTATTTAAACAACTTATATGCCACCCCATCGCACGAGCCTCGGGGTGGCTTACAATCATAAAATCCTGCATAAAATACAACCCCCCCCATCGAATAATTAAAATACATAAAATTAAATAGTGGACACAGCCTGGTCAATTTAAAATAAACCATTAACAGTTAAAATAGTGTTTAAATAAAAAGGTCTTGGCCTGGCACCGAAAAACAAATAAGGACAGCGCCAGGCGGACCTCTCTGGGGAGCGCATTCCCTAGGTTGGGCGCCACTGCAGAGAAAGCCCTCCTCCGAGTACTCACCCTCCTAATATCCTTTATGGAGGGTTCCCGGAGAAGGGCCTCTTCTGCTGATCTCCAAGTGAGTCCAAAATTATCTCTGTGCGAGCAAGCTGCTGCCTTGCTGTGTGCCCGCATGCGCGGACACGGCGAGTCCAAAACCTGTGAGGCGAGCTGGATCAACGGGCATGGCAGGCCGTAGTTTGAGGACCCATGCTCTAAACCCACTCTGGAGGGTCCCCCAACCTCCAGAATTGGTTTGGTGTTTGGTGCAGGGGAGCTCTGCTGAGCACAGCGCAAATTTTGATTCACCAGCCGTGTCCACTCCTCTGGTGGAAAAAGACCATTGGATGCTGCCTTATGCATTTTCACTGAGTAGATGTAAGAACAAGCCCTTTTCTGACTTGGCATGCACCACATTCCAGTTGCCAAGCTTATCTTTTTCCAGTGGTGCTGGCAGGTAATTGTAGATTCTGGGCTTAAGGGACTTACTCTCCTCTCCCACACCATCCTTTAAATGGCCCTGTGACTAATACAACAGATTTTCCTCTTTTCCACACTCCAGGCACCATTCCATGCTTTACAACTGCTTCAACATTCCTGATAAATTAAAATAACAAAATGATTTCACAGCCCTGATTTTTAAAAAATGCTGCTTTGCAATGCTATTTTGCACTTTCTAGTTTATTGTCATTAAGCATCATCATGACACAGGAATAATATGGGGTTTGCTGCTACTGCCGTTATCACCTGTCAGTCTCTGGGTGCTCATTCTCCCCCACCCGCTGTTTTGGCTCCAAGGGCCCTATGGCCTCTTGTCACTGAGTGAAGGGCACAAACCTCCTAATTATGGTGGACGGATTTTAAAAAAGCATACATAAAAATACATGGCATGTTGATTATTGTAGATGGTGTATACTTGGTTTATGGAAATGTTGCTCTTCTCTTGCCTAGTGCATGTGCCTTTAATTAACAACTGCAGGACAGAAATATACATCAGAGGATTGTTTTCTTTTTACTGTATCATCATGGTAGTTTCATTTATGTTTGCCATGAAGCTACAAAAGGAAGAGATGCTTTTTCTGAAACAGAACTGTAATGTAAAGTAAGTTATGGACTTTTGTTGCATCTCACACAAACTTGCCCACAGAAGTTTATTGTACCCTGGAGCTGCAATTCAATGAGCACTTACTTGTAAGTAAGACCCACTGAAGGCAGTAAAAAATATTTGTGAGCATCCATAGATAAAAGACTGAGCTGTAAGCAGTCAAAAGATTCTTGTGTGCTGTAATAAATGAGCTCAGCTGTCCTCTGGAATTTATTTTCTATGGCATCATTGCCTTTAAAAATTATAGATGAGTTCATTTATTTGAAACTGGGGCCAATTCCCCTCTCTCTCTCTCTCTCTCTCTCTCTCTCTCTCTCTCTCTCTCTCTATATATATATATATATATATGTATATGTATATGTATATGTATATCCCTGTACATGTACACACACATTTACACTGGGGACAAAAACACTTCCATGGCAATTTTCATCCTTAAGAAAAACAAAGAGCAGAAACAGCAATTAGTACTATCAGACTGGCAAACCCCAAGCTAACATACTTCTGAGAATTAGAAAATATAGTCATTCATATATATTGTGGTATACTAGATCTGAAAGAAGGTAGCAGAGAAGAAAGTGCAACTCTGAAGCAACTAATATTAAACGGAGAAATCACTGATGGAGCCTAAGAATAAATTAATATCACATGAAGAGAAGGTATGAACTAAAGATGCAACCCTATTCAAATTCAGGCATGAAAGGGCTTCTGCTGTTTAAAATGGCATAGGACTGGCCTTTGAGGGCATAAGCCAGCACACCCAGGGCAGGTTCACATGCAAAAACTTGGACGCTTATATGTATCCAGTGTGCAAAGTGAAGTCTCAGCCGCATCACCTTGCCTTAGCATTTATTCTAGATAGTTGTTTTCAGCTGTCTAAATTTAGTGCATTGGAGAAGCAGGTAAAGAAACTCTGCACATGAATTGGGGTAAAGTGATGGCCCCTCCTCAACTCCAGGGTCACCCTTTTTTGACCTCTCCAAGGCCCAGGTGGATCCCCAGAGAGGCAGCCAGTGCAGGTCTTTCCACACCAGCTGTGAAAGTGCAGCGGGGAAGCCAAGCCTTCAGACTCCCTGCTCCAAATTATCCAAATTATCCTATGCCCCCTCACTTACAACATCAGGAGGAGATAGACTGTGTCTGAAGGGTTTATTCATCCCTTGAGAATTTTAAGTCTGAATTGTGAACCTGGGTTTTCCTGCTTGCAAAACAATCTCATTAACAAGGAGTGGGGTTTGTTGGTTTGTTTTGCAAAGCTCATGAGTGACATTATGGCTCCATTACAGGAATTTGCTTTTTTTTTTTTTTTGGCAAAATGGTTGCTTTACAGTATTACATCATTTATTTTGCATTATGTCATGATATACGAAAGCACCAAAAGAATGTTTATGCTGCAATTTGGAAAGCATTCTTAAGCATCCTCCAAAAATGTGGGATTAGCTCAGATTTGTCCAGAATTTGTGTTTTGCAGAGCAAAGTCTAAGTACATAGAACTTGCTCCTCATGTGTCCCCAATCCTGAACCATATGGCTAATTGGAGTTGCCAGGTTCAGATGTGGGCACCACACTTTAGCTTGAAGAATTGTGGAGCAAAAAGGAAGTATGTGGTAGGTGGCATCTCCTGCTGTCGGATTGTTTAGGGCACAATCCCACAGCTTCCAGCATTCCCAGCCACAAGGCCAGATGCATTCAGATTCAGAACACAGCACAATCTTGATACTGGTACAGTCATACAGGTTTAGGATTGTCCTGGCCTCTCACAGCAGGTCAAACTGCTCCTAGTGACTTTTGCCAAACAGCGAGTGTGTTTATGTAGATTATGGGTCCTCAAACTACGGCCTGCAGGACAGATCCAGCCCACCATGCCCGTCCATCTGGCTTGCACCACCCTTCTTGTGCTGTGTTCTGAATCTGAATGCATCTGGCCTTGTGGCTGGGAATGCTGGAAGCTGTGGGATTGTGCCCTAAACAATCCGACAGCAGGAGATGCCACCTACCACATACTTCCTTTTTGCTCCACAATTCTTCAAGCTAAAGTGTGATGCCCACATCTGAACCTGGCAACTCCAATTAGCCATATGTTTCAGGATTGGGGACACATGAGGAGCAAGTTCTATGTACTTAGACTTTGCTCTGCAAAACAGTTTTAATGCTGCTTTGATTTTGATCATATTTCTATTGTATTTTATTATTTTACTTTTATGCATTGTCGCAAACCTCCCAGATAGCTTCAGCTATGGGGCAGCATCTAAATAAATAAATAAATGAATGAATGAATGAATGAATGAATGAAATTTCCTCTTTTTTGACACACACAAGCAGTGGCCGTACTTCTCCTCCATACGGCAGTGGGTTGAGAGTACTCTCTTGGACTGAAACCAAAAGAACAGGGGCAGAAATGACTTACTTGAGTGCCTGGCACCTCTGCTTCCCTGTGCACTGCTCTTGAAACTATAAGCACAGGCTCTGGTTCTGGGGCTGATCATCCTGATGCCAGTGCTTGTATTTTGTGTGATGCTGGTGGCAGAGTTACAAGAAGGGTGTTGGGCTGCTTCAAGCCATGGTGACCAAACCAAATTCTGAGCTGGCAGAGATTTTGTAGGGAATGTTCCTGCAACAAGAAGAGAAGCTGGAGCATCCATTGTCAAGGAGATTGCAACTTGTTAGACAAACTGGGTTCCCTGTCCAGTTTTTGAAGCATGATCATACTTGATTTGCATGTGTGCTTGAAAATGCTCCACACACACAATCTTTAAGCAATATTTCTAATTACAGAAGTTTAGGGGAATAAACATTGTCTCACCAGGTAGGATCTACAAAAGACATAATAAAAACACCCTAGGGCAAAGTTCATTGAAGTAATTTATCTTCATCTGGAGATATACCTGCTGTGGCTTGAATTTGCCTGGAGTTAGATGAAGCCGATATCATCAGACCGTCATATGTTGCACGCAGGTTGTGAATAATGCTGGTGAAGGCTAATAAAAAGGAAAATTTGAGCAGCCAGCCAGCCTCCAGTTAGCGCAGAGGCAGCTTTAAATCTATATTTTGCCTATGTTTTAGAAACTGTGATGTAAGCAAAAACCAAAAAGGTGACCAAAGGAAGCCAAGACAGAGTGAA